GAAGGCAAAACGGCAAAACAGCCCGACAAAACGACTGAAGGCAAAACAACCCGGCAAAACAAGACAAACGTTTGCTAATTTCTCATCTAATTTTTAAGGAATCTGTAAAGAGTGCCATCCTCAAAATTTAATGAATCGCGATTTAAATAAGGGCCCCACCCGCAATACCAATTATTTAAACACTACTTTAAGCAAGTAATTCCTGTATTGAAATGTGTTAATTATAGTACATAGTTATCACCTCAAAGAAACCCAGATCTTGTGTTTAATTAGTGCAGAATGACAACAACAGAAAGTCGGCTGATAAAGTGTTATACTGTATATTAATAACCGTAATTTAATGGTTATACAGTGTGTATAAAAAAACTGAACCCTTTCAAATTCAAATTAGCTATAACGTATTGTAGTAATTTGACAGCTCTACTCAGCTCTAAATTAATGTTGGATAAGAACACAAGGTCTTGTACTCATGGGACAAAACTCAAAGAAATAAAAATTTAAAAGAAATACAGTATTCCTTCATTTCCTTGTGTTCTTACCCAATCATTAATTCAAAGCAATCAGAGCTGTCAAATTACTACAATACGTTATAGCTAATTTGAATTTGAAAGGTTCAGTTTTTTTTTATACACCCTGTACATTCAAACAACAATCGTCATGACATAATATTTCAACAGCAAATATATTAACCTCACTGAAGTCATACCGAGTCTTAGAGCCTGTCTACATGATCCTCCTCTGCTGGGCTGAAATGTGAGGCTGGATGATTTTGATGTATTGAAATCAACTCACGGTACGCGTTTCAGCAAAACGACATTCTCTACTGATAGACCATAGTATAATTGTGAACGAAAGGTTATGTTCAACTGTTGAAGCAGGGATAATAACAACAACAACGTAATATGCTCGACAACATTTGAGTTCTTTCCACCGACGTTTGGACTTTTATTTACTTTAAACTTAGTGATTTATTTCAATACATCAAAATCATCCCGCCTTCCATGCCGTCCCCGCAAAGCCGGGTTATATGTTATTCAATATATTCTATATATTCAATAATTTTACGCTTGCTTCACACGAATGTACGAGATACACACCACACATAATTTTGCTTATTTGCAATTCAAATTTCATGCATCGATCAATGGATAAACACCTTTTGATTTTGTGCTGCGAAACGTTTAGATTGCTGTACGCATTTTACTGATTATATACTTTTAGGGCAATGACTAATACATCTGAAGCACTTCCCACAATTTGATTTAGAAAGCAATTAGTCAGATTGCAATGATATTCCAACAGATATATGTGAATATCGAAATCCATACACCATGTAAATTGGCCTATATTTACCTTATCATATGTCTTGCTCCAAGCTGAGTAGAGTTGAACAAGTTCTTCTTGAGTAGTGTTGGCATTTAATTGTTTAACATGACCATATCCGTCATAACTTTCTCCACTCATTATATAAACAAAGTTGAGTCAAATAATAATGGACCACTGACCTAATGTGCATGCTAGATTATGATCAGTAATTTGAAAGTCTAAGGTAACGTTGACTTCATGAGCACAATCACGCGTGACGATCGGTTGATCGGTCAAGGCTATTTCAAATATGTCAGAGCACCTTGTCACCGGGCTTTCTCTGACGCGGCAACGTAATCCAAAATGGCGCCTGACTTGAGAAAACTCTTTTGCCAGTTTCAATATATATATGATAAATGAAATTAATTACAGTAGAAGATTTATATTAATGTATATAGACTATAGTATGTATGACTACTTAACACTGATTGTTAAAGAACTGATATGCCATTTATCATTTATAAACCTAGACTGGCTGGAGCGAAGGGAATTCGGTGAAATATTACACGGAGTGATGATATTTCATCACTGAGGAGTGAGGGTAATAACCATATCATCACTGAGGCCAATAATTTGCCGAATACCTTGAGCTACTGTAGAAATGATATATTATACCAAAAATTAAAAGTCTCCAAGTTGAGAACATAAAACTTATACCTTCGTGAATACGATGGGGATTTTTTATTAACGCAAGTATTTAGTACTTTTCTTTTAAGTTTGAAAACTTAATCAATCCATAGTATATTGTGTCGGCCATCTTGTTTCCGTGATCGCCGCACGTGGTTTAATTACGTACGTGCGTATTATATTTGAATTTTATTCCATCGGTCTCAATATGAAAATTATGGTTAATTGAGTTACAATTACAAAGGAATTGTAACATAATGATTGTAATAGCATAGTTGCGCGTTTTTTTTTGTTTTGTTTCAACAGGGGCGATTACTAACTAATCGCCCGCTGTAGCGGACAATTAGTTCTAATCGCCCGTTGGCAAGGGTCACACCCTTTGTCTCCCTGCCGACTACGTCACTACACATTAGGCAAGCGCCTCGCGCACATAATCGTGCAAGGAACAGTAACAGTTAGCTCAGAGCCGTCAATAGTCTAACCTGAAGTTCAGGCCTTAATTTTAAATACTGGGCCTGACACAAAACCTGTCTAAACTGTGGGATTCCTGTCCATCTGGTGGACTGGAAATCTGATTGGTTGATCAGCATCATGAAAGATTTTGATTGGTTGCAAGTTCACATAAACAATAGTTTTAAAAATAGCTCGGTCAAGGCAACAATTGATTACTTTTATGGCAGAGAATAAATCAAACAAACAGTATTTTGAAAAGGGTTTATCAAATTGAGAATTTCGTTGTTGCTGTTGTTAGCCCGTTAGAGTATATCCGCGTCCAGCAAGTTGAGACCTTGAGAAAGCTTGGCATTCAAGCATAGAAATATTAGACCTAGAATGCGTGCTTGGTCACGTGACCGGTATCCAAATTGAAAACAAAAATGCCCTTATAAATCCGCCATGTTGAATTTGAGCAGGAGTGCAAACTACAAAGTATAAACAAAGCTAAAACTATAAAGTTTTTATCGTCAAAACGTTTTGTATTTGTAGTTTGGGGATAGAATTTGAAATATTAAGTTCTTTAAAGGCTCAAAGCAAATGTGCTGTTACAAAAACGGTGAAAATCGTGCAGCCTTGTAAAAACAAAGTAGTTTCGCGTATAAAATATAATTTACTCATAAAACATTTTTGCATGCTCTAAACGTAACTGTGTTGCTAATATTTAATGAAATTACGAAATGATAGTTCATTCTTCGTCGGCTTTCGTTTTTCTTCAATCTAAACGAAGTGTTTTCATGTTTTTGAAACAAAAATATTTAGTTGTTGATAAAGTGTAAATCGCCTATTAAATAATCGTCGAAAACTATGGTTTCAAAAGCAAAGCGTTGCTTCAACCTCAAGCAATGTATAGAAAAAAATAAAAAGTAGTTGTGTAAGTTTAAAAAGATTATTGAACTCCATTTATATTATAAAACAGTTGAAATATATTTTTTAAAACATACCCGTATTGAGTTTGAGTTTGTCTTGATTTTTCGTGTTTTGTTTTGGCTTGCACAACAACGTTGAAATGTATTTTCAAACAACGATTTCTGTATATATTCTGTTCCGAACTATTGCTTTTCATAAAAAGACCCCACGGGAATGGATTTCTTTCCTTTAAAAAAGCTTTTTTTTCCACTTCAAGTCTCGATATAATTGTTTTTGCAAACTTTGTTGAAAAAAACAATTCGCGCACTCCTGCAACCGCGCGAAGATTTTGCCGCAGGAGCCTAGGACTAGCCAAAATGCCCTTATAAATCCGCCATTTTGTGGAGACAAAACTTTTACAGAGAAGAGATAGGAGCACGCATTCTATGTCTATTATTTCTATGGTTTAAACCCATAAGTAATATAATACTGGTTTTTTGAACTGTGATCCTCTCGTATTCAAGAGCCCGCGATTATTGCGCCAGCTTCCGTTACTCTACTTTACTTCATGTAGCCCTGGCAAAATGAATTGGAATTGAAAGCAAGCGCTAAATAAATTGTCAAAACAATGTATGTCACGAGAATTACAATGATCGGCGACAAACTCAGCAATTGTGTTTGGGGCAACTAGAAGCTCCCATTTCATCAATATGTATTGAACCAAACGAATATCATTAATATTTGCCACATGAGCCTTATTTGAAGAATACAACTGTAAAATACTACAGAAACCGGGACAATAAGAAGAAAACCGGGACACCGGGACAACATAGTCCAAACCGGGACAGTCCCGGGTAAACCGGGACGGTTGGAATGTTTGTGAAATGCATGCAAACCTTGAAACCATGCATGATTTTGAAATCATGCTACGGTCCTGCGTTTTCTTTCATTCATGTTTTCACACAAAAACGGATAAAAACGAGGTCATTTGACGAACATCATGGAAATGTTTTCCTATGGACTGTGTGAACAGAGCATCAAATGAATTTTGCTTCTTTGTTAAAGATGATGAGATAGTTTCTAGACCTTTTTGCCATTCTTCATCCAAATATTTCCAAATTCTATAAAATTATATTGGTGACTTTTTCACTGATTATTTTTATGACCCCCTCCATTTATACCAAAACTATAAAAAGACCCACCCCTTTG